CAGGGGGCCCGGGCCCACATTCCCCCCCGGGCCTCAGGGGGCCCGGCCCCACACTCCCCCCCGGGACCCGCCGCGCCTCAGGGCGCCCGGCCCCGCACACCCCCCGGGTACCCGCCGCGCCTCACGGGCTCCGGCCCGACCAGGCTGCACCTCACGGGCCTGCCCAGCTGTGGAGAGGAGCGCCTTGAAAAGTACCAAGGTCAACAATTTCTGGTTTTGACCACCTCAATATAAAATTAAATAACTAATTAAAATTTAACAACAAGTAATTTTAACTATTTCTGCCTGCACCTATTTGTATAACGAAGGATGTTTCTATTTCTAGGGCTTTCTGCTCGAATTGATACTAAAGAACCCCAAAACCAGATGCCTCTAAGGGAACAGCACGGTTTCCCTGCCTTCCAAGGGCTCCCCCGCGTCCACCACACCAAACACAGTTCTAGTTTGTTTGGCCGCCAAGCTCATTAAGGTGACAGAACGTACCGGGGTGCCAAGCTCCCTCCCCAGTTATAAATAGGCAGAAGCCCCTAGGGAACGACTTCCAAAACTGCAAAATCCTAGAATTACAGCTCCCCAAGGGAACCGTTTTCTGCATACGCCACAAATAAGAGGGGCCCTTACCAGGGGATGAGGGGATAAATCTTGCTCCTGATCACCCAGGCCAAAACAGGAGGACTAGTCATGACAGAGGCAGTCAGATAAAACAAGAAGGTTGGAGGCACTCAAAGAGCGCCACGATGAACAGCTTTCCACATAATTTTAGCTTTAGTAGCTTCTTTCTAGCATCCTCTATTGTTTTTGAATGGAAGTGACTCCATTAGTCACACACACATTTCATCTCAGTCAAAGTTCATTTTTCTACAAAGGATGAGGTAGAAAAACTGGTTCAAATCATGCACTTGGGGACAGCATGCATTAAGACGTGGTTCTACTTTTGACTCCCCGTCCAAACCTCAATAAACTGCATAATATTTATTTCTGAAAGGTTATTTTACAAGTTACTTAATATTTTTGGCACTTTAATGAATATAAATATGTTTTCTTCACATTTAAAAAGCAGACTGAAGACTTTTGACTGTTATAAAACAGTTAAAACGTAAGAACTATGAACCTAGCAATGTTACAAATGTGGGGGGACAGGACAGACAGGACATAAAAATGGGTTGTTTGACACAAGAAACACTCAACCTGTTTTTCTAAGGGATGCTACAGTTATGAAGACTGTAACCTTGATTTCCAGAACTAAGCCAGCATGCCTGCAAATGGTATTTGAACTACCAGATAGAGATTTCATGTGGAGACAGGAAATTTGACAGCCATTCAGTCTTGTATTCATCATGGGGCCTCAAGTAATTGAATGGCTGGGGACATGTATACAAGTCTCCAAAACCTAGTCAGCACAGGAAATTGCCAGGGGAGGTTTTCTAGACTGGGAGAAGTAAATCTGTTTCGGTAGACAAAATCTGAATTTAAAATGGTGGTCTACTCTCTTGGAAGTTGTAATATGAGATCTATTGAATCCTTAATCTTTTCTGAGGAAGTTTCCACCTCCTCGATCAAAGGGTCTCTGACAGACAACTGGAACCTGCTGGTGGCTCCTGATGGGCTTCCAAAGCTGATCAACCACCCTTGTAGGTGGTACATGCACGATGTCAGCAGGCACCCTCAGAAAATTCTTGAACTGGAATTACTGCATAAAGGACACAGCACACAAACGTGATGGGACTTCAAAGGCACCGCAGAAGCAAGATGCTGCCTCTGACTCACTCAACATGGGTATAATGGAAACAGAAATAGCAGCAAAAAAACTGTGGGTATAGAGTCCAATTAAAAAAAAAAAAAAGGAATATCTATGGCAACTACCAAATGTTGTTGACTAATACACCAACACAGAGAAAAGAACAACCAAATTGAGAACAACAGCTGCCTTCACTAACTGTCTCCTGGTCTTGCCATCACATCAGCCTTCAGCTGTCAGAATAATTTAAAGCTTCTGCATAGTATTTTTCAGTATAGCATTATAGCAGTGTTGTCTGTTTTGTTTAGTTAGCATAACTTTTTAGCTTACCCCACAGGGATGTTAGAAACAACCTTGCTTTGTAAAAAGGCTTTGAGAATAAT